GATTTATCTGGGCAAGAGCCACAGTTGTTTGCTGTAAAAATATGGGAGAAGTTAAATTCCTAAACTGAGGAGAGTTGAGCTTGTTGGTTTATTACCAGTTTGGTGCTTGTTATTATCAATTTGGGTGCATTTTGGGCAAAGTAAACCTATAAAGGGATGGGATGAGGAAAAGAAATGCACTGGTAAATCACACTGTTCTATACATATACTGGGAACCAGGTGGAAGTTAATACCTGGAAGGAGGGATTTTGGAAATGGGGATGAAACTTCACTGCATTCTTCATGTCAACTTTTTTCTCTAAAGGAATAAGGGAGAGCTGTGGGAGGCCTCACACCAGGGAAGCTGCTCTGGAAAGACAACAAGCATAGGGAGAGGAAAAGTGAGGGTGCTGTGGTCTCCTGAAGAGGGGGAAGGAGCTGTGACCCAGCAGGAGGAGGTTCCTGAAGTTGTTGGGAGATGAGGGAGGGGATGGCAGCAGACAGGACAGGAAGTGACTAAAATACTGTGGTGTGTGTTGGTTTCAGTCTGTAAATACAGGAGGCTCTGTCAGCGAAAGGACGGCTTGTTCTTTTTTTCAAATGTGACCTTGTACTCGTTCTTCTCTCAAAAAAAATCCACAGGAGAGAGGTTTTCTGGCTCTCTTCAGCTGATGTCAGTTCCTTTGCTGTTAGAGAGGGCTGTGCTCCATGGAAAGAAGTTTCCGAGGAAGTTTTGAAGAGTACCACTGTGGAGCTACGTGAGGCACTTTGCTTGGGAGAAGGAGACTGCAGGTGAAAAGATCAGAATAGAAGGGATAGCTGTCAGCAGGATTAATATTCATGCTTCCTTTTTCCTACATTAATTGAGTGGCACCCAAGAGGGCCAGAAAGGAATGGTGAAGGACAGCTGTTTTAGATGGGAATTGCTGGCTGGCTGGTCTTGGAGGATGAATAAACTACCTTTTCTTGACCCTGCCTGACACAGGGAGAAAGGGTTTGGACCACTTGTCAGTTCTTCCTTAGTAAAAAGAAGGGTGAAAAACTCTCAGCAGGGTGAAAAATGCCTGAATCCTAACAGAAAGCTGGAAAAAAATGGGCTATTTTAATATTGCTGCTGAACACTCGTGTATGTTATGGGCCTGACTCGATCTCTTGCTTCACTGGAGCTGAACTTCTCCTGGGACACTTTTACAGATGGCAGTTTTGGGGGTGTCTGCTGATCTTCTTTTTGGAAGTTGTGCATCCCTGGCTGAACTGGTTGACACTGGAAGAGCTCCCAGTAGCAGAGCCACCCCCAGGAAGAAGTGGTCCTAGTCTGAGAGCCGAGGGCTGGGAGTTGCTTGCGTTCTCTGGTGAGACCTGCCTGGATGGGCTTGCTCCAAGGAGCAGGAAGAAGAGTTAGGAGGGCTGTTTGAATCTTCTGGGAAGGGGTACTTAGCCAAGCCCCATCCCTGGCACAGGCTGTGAGACAAAGGTAGCTGGCTCTTCCCAGGAAGAGGTCAAACTCAGTGCTGCCAGAAGGATTTGCACAGCTGAGTGTGTGCAGGGGGAAGGTGAGGTTGTCATTAGCCTGCTGTGGCTTTGAGTGTCTCTTGCCCTTTGCAGGTGTCACCTGTACCAGTTATTTAACCAGGCAGCAATTCCCTGCGTGCCAGGGGAGGATCAAAACACATCAGAGAGGAAAGGGGGTCTTGGAGCATCCACTGACCACGTCCATCCTCGTACAGAGACCCAGTTTGGGGAGCTGGGGGACCATGGTTTGTGTAACTGTGCTGTGAGGGAGCTGCAGACTCCAGGAGGGGAAAGCTGCAGATGCTGCCTCTCTCAAAATGCACTCTTGGAAGCACAGAAGCCTTTCCTTCCTCCTGCCTGCTCTGCAGGCCCTGAAATATTGTTTTTCCCCACCCTTCCAAGACAACAATGACATGAAAGCACTGTGGCCCCGGCTGGGTAGGATGGGATGGGAGCTGTTTGTATTGTGCGTTTGGGTCCTCAGCCACGGCTGGGATCCTGCTCTCCTACATGCTGTGCCAATTAGGAGGCCAAAGTCTTCCCTGCCCACAGGAACAGGCAGAGCTGAGGGAGTTTTGTGGCTGATGCTTTGCTGATGACAAGAGCAATAGACTTTGGAATTTGCTGGGCTGGAGGAGACAATCCTTTCTTCTGTGTTTTGCATCCCTGTTTTCCCCATTGCAAAGGAGTTCGAGTTTAAGGTGTTCCTGCCTGTTTTCTGGTGTGTACACTTTTGGTGTGGTTGCCTTATCGTAGTGGTTTGGGTTGAAGGTTCCAACCTGTTTGTCTTGGAGGCTGTGCTGTGAAAGAGGTCTGGGAAAAGAGTCTGAATGGTTCCCGGATCCCACAGCACAGATCCATGGGTGGATCCAGCTGGAGTGTAGTTTCATGTAATGTGAATCCACAGCAGGCTGGTCTGGTGGAGTGGCCTCCTCTGAGACACATAATATTTGTTTGGTCGTAAAGACTCCAGATTTGTTAGTGAGGGACCAGGTCATTTACTACACATTCACAGAAGGTGGGAGTGGGATCTGTCCTCAAAGTTTGTGCTCAGGATTAGCCAAGACAAAGTGATCTCATGGTCCAGATGCCAAACTGGAGTGACTGGGCACTAAAGCTGGAGTGGGTAGATGGGAAGGGAGCAGGAGCTCCTGTTCGTGGCATCTCCAGCATCCGCCTATGACACCAGAGGTACTGGGATCAGGCCCAGCCACATGGTCACATTGCTGTTGAATTAGCTGCTCTACACAATCCAGAGCCTGTGCTGGCTCGGTGCCACTTCCAGAAGGACAGACAATGGCTGGTCATCATGTCTGTGCCTGGAGCTGTGTTCCAGCCCAGGTTTCCTGAGACTTGCGCTCAAATGGGACTTACCTGAGTGTTAGCCCAATGTAACCTTGCTCCTAGTTAAGGTACACTTAACTAGGAGCCCTGAAATACCATGCAGATTTCCAGCCTGGGAGCCAAATATAAGTTATTGAGGGACTGATTTGGATATAGCCTCCTCTTGCCAGAATTCCGTGCCAAACCTTTTCCCCCACTCGTGAGGTTTTGTACCCAGTGAAGACAAGAGCTGCTTTTCCTCCTAAAAGTGAGTGTCTGGGGTAAAGCGGCAGCCTGGTCCTGCAGTGAGCCACCACCCACCTGATCCCAAAGCAGGTGAGACCATGGACTACAGAGCCCAGAGTCCTTTGCCTCATTATGCATATCCTCTAGTTAGTGACAGAGAGCTGCCTGCTGGGACCTGTAATCCTAGGTTTGCCTGGGATTGGGAAAAGGGAAAAGATAGTCCTGCTGGAAGGGGATTTACATCTGCTCTGTGCCCTCATTTTAAAGCTGAGCACCACGCTGGGTTAACGGATTCTGTGATTTCTGAGGAAAAGTGCTTTGTAAGGTGGACTCATCCTTTGATACAACACAGCCATAAAACTTCTACATCTCTAACTTCATGCTCTGATGCATATCCTTTGAAGAGGCAGTCTCAGTTTAGAAGCAGAGTGGGCATTTGGGAATTCCAGTTTTTAGTGGGCACAGCCCAGTGTGCAATTCCAAGTGTTCCCCAGGAATAGGTCAATTATGCTGATGCCACCTCCATTTGTTTGGTTTTTTTTTTTTTTAAATGCGTTTTTCTGTCTTTCTAAAAACCTGTAATTAAAGAGTTTTATCTTTGTATTATTAAAATCAAGGAAAGAAAGTATTCCCATTTTCTCTCCATCTTTAGTGGAGGGCTTATGACAAAGGACAGCAAACACCATCCCTTTTCCTGATTGTTTAATCCTCAGAGCATTCAAGCTCTGAGAGGGACACACCCTTGTTTAAGGATCTTTCTGAAGTGCCCCATTCAGGAGAAGTTGTTCCTGCCTGGCAGATAAGCTGTTTGTGCCCCTGTCGTTCACGTTTTTGTCGTTCAGGGGGTTGGAAAGCCGAGCGCAGTCAATGAGGTGTTAACAACGGATAAATGGCTCTGCCTTGATGGCTGGGGAACTCCTTGTGGACCCGTCAGCCTGCTTAAAATTGTCAGTTAAAATTAAATGTTACTGGAGGTGGGTGGAAAGCCCTTTTATTAATGTCCCTACATCCTCCTGCACTGGTTAAACTAACTAATTTTAAGAATTTCTTTAAGGCAGTGCAATGTGTATGAGGGAGTCCTTTCTCTTTCATGGTCCGTGGTTGGTTCCAGTGGTGTTGCTGAGGCTGTGACACTGCCATAGATGTGACAGCAGCTGTGTCACCTCCTGTCCCATCCTGGCTGTCTGCTGGCCCAACAGTTGGTGTGCACGCTTGATACGGAGCATCCCTAATTGGGGGGATTAAATTAGCTTGGCTAATTCAGAGCAGGTTGCCTTTTATCTGGGGGGGATTTGGGGAGCATTCCCACGCAGGGTTCTGCCAGAGCTTGGCTGCTCCCTAGCCAGGTGGCCAACAGCTGGGGACAGTAATTATTTCCAGATCCAGCAATGCCAGAAGAGGATGTCTGTCAGGAATCCCCACACAGATGGACTTAGGAGACCTTGTAAGAAAAGGGTTCCTTCCCCTCTGCTAGTCCTCCCCACACAAACAAGGGAATAAATCACCTTTCGTGTACAGGCCTGGCCAGACATGAAAACTTGAGAATTTTGTCCCAGTGTAAACCTTTCCTTTATCACTTGGTGTTCTGGCAGACATTTAAATTCACAAAGTGTCTTTACCTCTAGTGCAGCAAAATACTGATGCACCTGTAAAAATGGGCAACTGATTCTTTTTTTCTTTGCCTCAGTTATTCTGAACTCTCTCCCCTCCTCCTGTATTTCTGTGTTAGAATTCATCAGGAATGATCCTCTGTCTCCCATACAGCCCAACTTGCACAAATGTGGATGCAGGAAGAGCGTATCTGATGTTTCAGTGGTGTGTTTTGAGTCCAGGCTCCCTCAGGGCCCCTGGCTGAGCTGTGCTGGGTTGGGATGAGGCTCTGGTTGTTCCTCCTGGTCCGTAACTCTTCCCTCACTCCCTGAGGTGTGTTCTCCCCTCAGCGTGGCACGATGAGGCGGCGTTACGAGGACGATGGAATCTCCGACGATGAAATTGAAGGGAAGAGGACATTTGACCTCGAGGAAAAGCTGTCCACCAACAAATTTAACTCCACCTTTGTGGTCTTCATGGAAGGCAAAGGTTTGTCTTGGGGCTGCTAATCAGTAAGCAGGGCTGGTGCCAGGGAATGTGTGTAGGGAAATGGCATGGCAGCTGCTTCATCCAAAGAGCAGGGAGCTGATCTGCAGCGTTGCAGGTTGGCTGGGACACGTGGAAACCAGGAATGGGAGGGTTCTCCTGGGTCACCACCTGTAATTGCAGCCACATGTTGTCTATGAGATGTTTAATTCAAGGACTGTGTGGGATCTCTCCCCTTCCTTTCACCATGCACACGGCTCAGTGGGATGGCTTTTCATCACACAAGCTTGGGAGGATTTCCTGGAGGGAGGAGCACTTCTTCAAGGCATCTCTTGCTTGGCTGTGAGCTTTCTAGGAAACTGAGGACCAAAATCCGAGCTGTTTTCCCTGTTGGAGCAAACTCCCACTTCCCTGGGGGGCCTGTCTGAGGCTTATCAGCAGCACACACCATGTTGCTCCCAGAACTGCTGCAAAGGAGTTCCAGGATCTCCAAAGGAGTGTAAAAAAGTGAGGAACAAGGTTTTCTTTAGCTGACCACAGAGATAGGAGGAGGTTCTCAAGTCTCAACTGCCCTGAACGGCCTGATCCGAGTCAGAAGTCAGTTTACTGGGAGCAGGGTTGGACTAGAGATCTCCAGAGATGCTTTAACCTCAGTGTATCCTCTTTAGGAGCCTCCCCTAAACCTTCCCTCTTCTTGTCTCCCTGCACCAGACTTCACAGTTGAGTATATCCAGCGGGGTGGCCTGAGGGACCCTCTCATCTTCAGGAGCTCGGACGGCCTGGGGATAAAGTAAGTGTTGGGGGCACGGAGTGGTGGGTGACTCTGGCCCAATTCCTTCATCTCCCCACATTGTGTGGGATCTGATCCTGGCTCTGCCAAGCTGGTATGACTGTGTCCTGTCCACACTGTCCTTTATGTGCAGTGAGCAGAGAGAAATATCTTCCACCTCAGTTATCCCGTTCTTATTAGTCTGTTTGGACTGAAAATGAGAGTACTGAATTGGCTGTAGGTGATCAGAATTCCACCAAATGTCTGGAAAGTCCCACTGCTGCTCTGATGCGACGTCTGGCTGGGTTTCTTTCCTAGTAACATAGGCATCTATTGCCAGAGAGTCAAACAATTTGTAGTATTTCTGGCATTTTCCAGAATTCCAGCCTGCTTTATCCAACTTCTAAACTGCTCTGTGTCTCTCTTGCTGCAGTACATTCATTGAGATTTACAGCTTTGAGTGTAAAGCTGGGTCAGTGTTTTTTGGGAGTTGATTAATACAATGATTAGAGGAATAAATGACCCCTCACAAACTCTCTGAGGCAGTATCAGCAGCACTGCTCTGAACCCCCCCCAGCTGGCTGTGAATGGGTGGGTGACATCTCATCCAGTGCAGGATGTTCTGTACTGGGGTGAATTAGGTAGGAAGTCGTGCCAGGCTCAGTTTTAACTGCTCGGTGACTTGGGAGGGCAGAGATTTGATACTGAGGATTAGAGTGTGGCTGAAACTAGATTTCTCCTGAGCTTTTGGGTATTTCTCTGGGTCAAGAGCTGCTCGAATGGCTGCCAGGCTGTTCTGCCTGTGACAGCAGTGTTTGTACAGAGAAGTGTGCCAGTACAAACAGTTGGAGTGGTTCTGCTGTGTCAGTGGAATATACTGCATGTACTGGTCTGGCTATGCCTTTGGATTGGGATAACTCACACGAGCAGCCTCTAAAAAGAGGGCTGGGATCGCTTAGCTCCTTTGCCAGAAGTCACTGTACAACGACTTGTGCTCTGGAGATGGTACATCCTATTCCCAAATCTGCTTCCTGAGCCAGAAGTTTGTCCCACTGTTTCACCCCAGACTTGCGCCCCTACAGATCTAATACCATGGTCTGCACACACCCCAAAGCAGCACCTTCAGGGTGCAATACCTGGGTTACAGGTGGGGAGGGTCTGCACCAGAAGCACATGATGGTTTCTGAGCAAGGTGTCTGTCCCGCAGGATGCCGGATCCGGACTTCAGCGTGAATGATGTGCGGCTGTGTGTCGGTAAGTGTCACCTCCTGCAGGTAGGGAGGAATGGGGAGACTCTTTGGGTTTAAGCTGAGGTCTCGTGGCTCCCCAGAGTGCAGCTAGTTGGACCTGAGCTGCCCTTACCCAGGGGATCACCTTCTTGGGTCTAATTTAACCTGAAGCAGCTTCTGTTTGATGTGGGTGTGGAAGTTCTGGGAGAGGCCAAGACATCACACTTGTGTGGGTGGCTTCTCTGAGGATCTCATCTCCTGGAGTCTTCTGAGTGGTGCATTGTGCACAGGGCCGGTTGCAGTGACGTGTGTGTGTTGTGGCAGGGAGCCGACGGATGGTGGATGTCATGGATGTGAACACACAGCGGGACATCGAGATGTCCATGGCCCAGTGGGCGCGATACTACGAAACGCCAGAGGAGGAGAGGGAGAAGCTTTACAATGTCATCAGCCTGGAGTTCAGCCACACCAAACTGGAGAACCTAGTGCAGAGACCTGCCACGGTGAGCATGGCTCTTCCTTCCGCAGGGATCTCCTTTCCCTGGTCCTCTTGGCACTGGAATGTGGGAGGAGAGGGGCTTCTCAGAACTTGCATGGGCTCAAGAGTGTGTGCTCTGGAAGCTGCTGGAGCTGATCTCCCAGTCAGGCTGTGGTGACCATGGCCAAGTCCCTGGCATGTCACTCTGCAGAGAGATGATGGGAGTTCCTTAGCTGTCAGCAATTGGAGACGTGGAAGTGGAGCTCCAGAGGGTTGTGCAGTATGGAAGGGACGGTTTCTGGTACCGAGTGCTGAAGTCTCTGAGGGCAGAGGACACCGGGATTGGAGGTGTGCTGAAAGAGGGGCAGGAAGCTGTTTTGTGGTGGGAAAACAAGTTGCTCTTACTGAGGAGTGGAAGGTGGGATGGATGGAATGGACATCCTGAACTCCCTCTGCAGATGGTGGAAGGGAAGGGGCAGCTGTGTAGGGCCATTCACTTCTCCCTGTAAACTGCAGAGGGAGCCTGGACATCTCTGGCTCTCCTGAAGCTTAGGGAGTTGAATCCCACCCTAGGAGATGCTGCCCTGCATGTTTTTTATGTAAGCTTGGTGCTGGCATCAGAACATCTGATCCTGAGTTCTTTATGTGTGGGATTTACCCAGTGGCACTGGGAAGGTTGCTGGCTCTGGGATGGGAACAAAAAGGGGGTTGCCACCTGCAATTAGCAGAAGGGTTTGCTGTATCCCTTTTCTCTCTGTTCACATCTCCCACCTTTCTGCCATAGGTGGATTTGATTGACTGGGTTGATAATATGTGGCCCAGACACCTGAAGGAGAGTCAGACAGAGTCTACAAATGCTATCCTGGAGATGCAGTATCCCAAGGTGCAGAAGTAAGTGACTTCCTGAGCTGTGGCAGCCAGCAAAGCATCCCTTGCAAGAGAACTGCCCAAGGGAGCAGGAGTTTGTACCAGGGGGAAGCAGGAGGCACAGTCTCCCTGTTTATTTTGCGGGTGACACTTGTAAGGACACTGCAGTCAGTTATTTAAGCCCGTTGGCTGTGTGGAAGGAGGGGAATCACATGGCTTCTGGCACTGCTCTGAGCCATTGGCCTGGGTTTAGGGGACCCATTCCCTTTGGATGTGTTATGTCTGCTCCAAAACATGGATAACCACTCATTTTCAACTTACCATCACCTTTTTTTCCACCAGGTACTGTCTGATGAGTGTCAAGGGCTGCTACACAGATTTTCATGTGGACTTTGGTGGCACTTCTGTGTGGTACCACATCCACCGAGGGGGAAAGGTAGGACAGTCCCTGTTGGAACAACTACAGGTGCTTTAGGACAGTGGATGTTAGTCTGTTCTCCTGTTAATCCTTGAGGATGCAGGTCCCAGACAGCAAATTGAGGTCTTTCCACCCTAAACTTACGTTACGTGGAGGCAGACAGGTGCTGATCTCTAGTTCAGTTGTAGCTCTAATGTGGCAGAAATACTCAGGTAAATATCTCCTTGTCTTTAGCACTCTGGTGTCTTTCCTGGGCTCTACAGCTCTTGACTCTGATGTAAATACTTAAAAAGCATCCCAAGCTCAAGCTACCTGTGGCACTCAGTGTGTCAAGTTGGGAAAGACCTTGCTCAGCTGCTTGACCTCTTTAGAGGGGCATCTATTGAGGACATGTTACTGGGAATTTCTCTGAGAGAGGGGAGAGGAAGAGATTCAGATGTTTGAAAGAAGCAGGGGATAGTCAGTAACTGTTCATTATACGAGGACTTATATATGTGTGTTATCTTTATTTGCAGATCTTCTGGCTGATCCCTCCTACACCCCAGAACCTGGAGCTCTATGAAAACTGGCTTCTCTCAGGGAAGCAGGGAGACATTTTTCTTGGGGACAGAGTTTCGGAGTGCCAGCGCATCGAGCTCAAGCAGGGCTACACCTTTGTCATCCCCTCAGGTACCACAGCATGGGCAGGGGCATCCTGGCCTTGGCCAGGGTTCTGGTGAGACACTGAAACTCCTGAACATAGGCAGGATTTAGCTTCCTCATGGGTGACTGGGAGAAAGAGATGCGATGTGGCTCTGTCCTCTTGCTTCCCACCTCCCAGAACACGCCTGTCATGGCATTGTGGATTCAGCCCAAGTGACAGGAAAGCTGTGGCTGGCTCACATCACACTTGATTAACTATCAGAGGAGGCTTTCCCAGATCCTGTGGGGTTGACACCCAGAACAGTGCAGGTTGAGGACAGGCTGGCCTAAGGTTAGTCCAGGCTCCTCAGTTTCCTGGGTGTCTCATGACACCTCTGCAGGGTTGTAGCTTTCAGCAGGACCAGGAACAGAAAAGAGCAGGGATTGCTCAACTTACTTATTTGAGTCCTGTTATCACAACTGACACCTCTTTTGAACTGAGTGACTTTGCCTTAAGGAAACCCATTCTGGAATTCCCCAAATGTTGGACTTGGCTGGATTGCTTAGCCTTGGAGATAACAGAGCTGGAACCTGAGTTACTTTGAGAGTGTTTTAATTGTTGGAACAGACTTTGGTAGACTGTTTTCATTGTTGCTGATGTTCTTAGGCCCAACACAATTAGGAAACAATATAGAACAACACCAGGATGATAAAAAAACTATGGAAGGGGGCCAAATGAGTTTGGTGTTGTATGACTTGGGGTCTATATGGTCCCATTGTAGCCCCCAGCTGCTTTTAGGCCTGGTTGATGTGACAAGGGGTCAGTAGCCAGTCTTGTGCTTGCAGCTAACCTGGATACAGATGTAACTGTCAGGGTGGGCTTATCTGAGTGATGTGAAGGTGGTGCAGATTTGACAGCCCTGCTCGGAAGAGCAGAGGTCCTCAGAGATGGAAAAGGACTGGAAGTTGTGAGACCTTGACGTCATCTTGTTGCTCAGGATTCTTCCAACTCTCCTTTCTCTCCAAGGTTGGATCCATGCTGTGTACACTCCCATGGACACGCTGGTTTTTGGGGGCAACTTCTTACACAGCTTCAACATCCCTATGCAGCTTCGGATCTACAGCATTGAAGACCGCACGCGGGTAAGGACCTGTGGGAGAGCCAGGAGCAGGAAGGGTGGGGGGAAACAGGCAGGCACATGGGTGTTCTTGCTTGTTACTTGGGGAGATGTGGGCCTGCAGTGCTCAGCTCCTGCAGAGAAGCTTCAGGACACACCTGGGCTGTGTTGGACACTCGGCCAAACCGGGTGTGGCATGTGTCAGTTTCTCTGGTACTCGTGATTAGAAGGTCTGTGGGAGAAGAGCTGCAACCCTGACAAAGAAAAATGAAATATTAATGGCTTGGCAAGCGAGTAGTGCCTGGTCTGTGCCCTGCCTGGTGATAACATCCTTCTGCAAGGAGAATCCCATCAGGCTGCCAGAAGCAGGAATGATACTGTTACACATGGACACGTGTTTCCTATCTCCAGAGGGGATCGCTCTGCTTTGAGGCAGCAGTAATAGAACTGTGAGTGCAATGGTGGTGAAGGAGGCCTGAGCAGACCCTCTTGCCTTGTTTTGCAGGTCCCAAATAAGTTTCGTTACCCCTTCTATTATGAGATGTGTTGGTACGTGCTGGAGCGTTACGTGTACTGCATCACCAGCCGCTCACACCTCACCAAGGACTTCCAGAAGGAATCGCTCAGTATGGGTAAGCCCAGCCCTTATTCCTTCCTTGCCCCTGCCAGACTGGTTCCTTACATCTTCCTGCTGGGGTACTGGCTCAGCAGTGTGGTGGGCTGGGTGTTCCTCTGAGGAAGAAGCCAAAACCAGCCAGACTTCTGCTTCCTCCTTCGCCCCTGCGACAGCCCAGGTTCCTCAGAGCTGCAAAACCAGCACACCAGTTCCTGGCTTTGTTGGGACACACAAAGCCTGTCACACAAGAGGTGGAGGGAAGTTGCAGTGACCAGCACAGTGCTGTGGGCTCTGGGGCAGGAATGATCTCTTGCTGGTTAGGGCTGCTACATGCAGGGGTTTAAGTGCTGTCAAAGTTACTTGCAAGGGCTCAGCGACCTCACAGTCATGAGTGAGTCCACATCCTGTTTTTCCTGTCATGAAGGCAGGATCAAGGTCCTGAGTCACTCCCAGGACCAAGTGGCTGGAGATCCCAAGCCCTCCAAAGCAAAATTAGGTTGGCCAGGGCTTTGAGCAACCTGATGTAGCGGAAAATGCCTGGGCCCGTGGCAGAGGGGTTGGACAAGATGACCTTTTAGGTCCCTTCCAACCCAAACTATTCTAGGATTCCATAAAATTCAGTCAAGGGTGTTGCTGTCTTTTCCTCTGGGATGTTTTTCCGTATCTGTTGCCTTGCATTCCCACAAAACAAGCCAGGAATGGGAAAGAGTTTTAGCTGTTCTTTTCCAGCTGCTACGGGTCCCCTCCTTTCCCCTTGCCTTGTCCCCATATGTATCTGTTGTGGCTGGGAGGGATTCCTCTAGAAGCTGAAACCCTGCCCACTGTGCTCTCACTCTCTCTCCATCGTGGCAGACATGGAGCTGAGCTCCTCGGACTCGGTGAACATGGAAGAGGAGGAGGAGGAGGACGAGGAGGAGGATGCAGCAGGGAAGGAGCCCAGGCGGCCGGTCACGAGGCGGTCCATCCTCACCAGCCCCATCGCCAATGGTGCCAATGTGGACTATGATGAACTGGGCAGGAGCTGCCGGAGCAGCCTGCCGGGTCTGAAGAAGACCCCATCCATAGACTCTTCCGACTCCAGCCGGGGCTCCCAAAACGGCCAGGCCTGGGACCCCACCGGGGGCAGCCCACGCAAGAACAGGAAGGTGCACCTGACGCAGTTCGAGCTGGAGGGGCTGCGCTGCCTTGTGGACAAGCTGGAGTCGCTCCCTCTGCACAAGAAGTGTGTTCCCACTGGCATCGAGGATGAGGATGCCCTCATCGCTGACGTCAAGGTAGGCCTGGGGCTGCCACAGGGACTGGCATTCCTGGGGGATGCCAGGTTGCATCTGCTTCATTGTGGTATTGGAAGTGAAAAGGCTTGACCCTGACCTGTCTTGGGGCAGGAGGTGATGTGTCTGCAGGCTCTGTGTCCTCCTCTTCCTCTGCATGTCACACCTGAGGGACAGCCCTTGGATTTTGGGTCAGGGTAGCAGGAGCAGTGAGTGCTCCCAGCCAGCGTGGCTGAGACCCCTCTGGGGACCCTCTGGGCCCTGGCTGGGTCCCTCATGGGTGTCAGTGCAAAGTGCCTCTTGGAGATGCAGTTCACTTCCAGTTCTGCCTACGGACTCCGTGACGGTTGGAGCCCTGTCCTTGCCCAGGTGAATTTGGCCTTGTTTCTTTGGATTGTTTGCCCAGGGTGTCACCTGAAGTAACATGAGTCAATTTTTTAAGGCCGGTGAGGGTTGTTTGGGGTTTTATTTCCCTTTGTCTGCCAGACCTGTTGAGCTGACCCCATGAGCTTTGGTGTTTTAGCCCCTTCAGCACTGAAGTGAAACCATCAGCCTCACTTTATTCCCCACAAGTCCATTTTAGTCCCTAAAACCAGTTACCACTTTCTCCCCTACTTGCTGATGGTGATCTGTTCAGCTGCTTGCCTGTATCAAAGCTGACATCCAGCTATGAGGTCCCAGGGTGGGCTGTGCTGACTGAAGGAGTGGATGTTGGTGCTGTTAAAGGCTGCACTTCTGGTTTCCTGTGGCTTTTCAAGCCTTCTGTGTGTGCTGTGACCTTAGAGTATGTGACACATGTGGTTCTGAGCCCCTGTGTGATGCTCTGAAGGAGCTCAAGCTGTGAGCACCATGTCTCACCCTTGGACTGAGAAAAGGAGGCTGGTGTTGGGCGTTTTGAAGGCAGAGCAGTCAAGGTTGTTGGTGTTCAGTTGGGTTTTGAGACCTGTTCAAAGAATTTGTTAATATTTTGGAGCAAATCAATCTGTGCCTCTGGTTTTGGTGTGACTCCCCCCCCCCCCATCCCTGTGTCTGGTTGTGAGCTGCAGGTGACAATCCCTGTGGTCCCAGACAGTTTCCCTGAGGATTTGCTCCTTAAAGCTGGCTGTCCTTGGAGGTTCAGAAGGATTCTGGCCCTGAGGACTGGCATCCTCAAGGCACAAAGATGCTTAGTCACCACCCTACGGTGGCTGGAGAAAGTGGGACAAGTTTGTCAAACCACTCTTCTAACTTCTGTTTTCCATAGAGGTGATGGAACTGGCTGGTATAGATTGGCTTGTAAAACCTGAAAAAGCTAAGACATTTCTAGCTAAACCTTTTAACTAGGGCCATCAATTGCAGCTGGTGTTCTTGTCCTTGTGGCACCAGGTAAGGTCATTTATGGACCTGGGATATGGCCAAGGACTGTTGGGGAAAAACCCACTTTGGTCTGTGCTCCCCAGGGTCAGAATGTGGTGTTTTCTCACCCAGACATCCTTGATCTGCCCCTCAGATCAGATGTCCTGCCACGCTTCCTGCCACCCTCTTCTATCCAGTGTCCCCAGGCAGAGGGTAGCAGGCATGGAGCAGGAAAATGCTGCCTTGTCCCACAGCCTCTTGTGTAGTGATCACGATTTCGGGGTCTGTCTAAGTTGGGTCATGTGGAAAAGTATGTATCCTGTCATGAGTTGAGCCTGGAGCGTCACATGGTGGGACGTGGCACTTTGGATGTGACAAAGATGTGCTTCCAGCTCTGTGGCAGGAGGGATTGTCTGAAAATCCTGATCATGGGGTCATTGGAGGAATCACTGTCAAAGAGGGAATTTCTGAGAGGTCCTGTTGTCTTTTGACTGTTCCTGTCCATCCTTTCTGACTCCTCTGGGGTGTGGACTTGAGAGGAGAAGGATGGTCATGAGGCAGCACAGCAAGTCTGACAATTCTGGAGCCAGAGCCCTGTGGCCTGGCATGAATGGGTTATATCTGGACTCTTCCTTGGAGCTGCTGGAGCACCAAGGATTGTAGAAACAAGGAGAGCCTCCCCATAAGTAGTGATCCTGTCTCCAGGACCTCGTCTCAAAGCCTCTGGTCTGGCATTGCCCACGTACCTGGCTGGGCAATGGGACACCAGGAGGACTCGGTAAGGAATGGGGATTGTATCCTTCAGGGATGGATGAGGAAGTTGAGGGTGGCCTGTGAGCTGTGCCAGGAAGGTCTCCCTTTCTGAGAGGTGGGATGGCAGCACTGGTCACACACACAGCACTTGGGCTTGTGGGCCACGAGGACCCAAGGGTGTCATTGGCAGTTCAGGTGGTGACAGTCTGGACCCAGGTCGGGATGTGACTGGCTTCCTGGAAACACAAAGCTGTAGCTACCTGCAGATGCTTTGGATATATCAGGAGTGGGAGCAGCCGCTGTTTTGCTTTATTTCAGGAGTTTCCTCCATTTTAATTGCAGTGTGTAGCTGGGGGTGGGGGTGGGGGTCTCGGGGAGCTGGGGCTGACTGAGGACACCTTGATCGCCCGGCATGGATCTGTCCCCCTCTAGTGGTTTGGTCGCCGGTGTGCCTTTGGGAATACGGGTGCTCCCAAACTTGGCTGGCCGGATGTTTCCCAGGGCCGATTCATCCATCCAGGTCGGGAGAGTACGGGGTGCAGTCCCTGGAGGGGGCTGCAAGGGGGACGACCCTTTGCCTACATTCCAAAACCCCGCTCACCCCACTGGGGTCTCCCAGATCCAAAACCCGGCTCAGAGCAGACAAAAGAAAGGCGTCGGGGCGGCTGGGCGTGAGCGGGACGCGGTGAGGGCTCTCCGCCACGCTGTCCCCGGCCCCGGGGAGCCTGGCCCCGGCATCTCGGATTGCGGCGGCGGAGGGAGGGAGCCCGGGGAGGCCGGTGGGCAGCGCCGCCCGGACCCTGCGCCAATCCCCGCCGTCCCGGCCCCTCCCGGCGCTGCAGCAGCGCGGCTCTGCCCTCCGCTCCCTCGCTCGCTTTTTCTTCTGCCATCTTCCCGTTGCAAAGCATTGCTGGGAACCGCATGTGGGTGACGCAGCAGCATTGTCTCCGGCTCAGGAAGCTGCCGCCGCCGCTGCCCAAGGGCTCGGGAGGAGCACGCGGCCGCCGGTGCGGCTGCCGGAGGCGGGGGGGAGCCGGGGGCGCTCGGGGCGGAGGGCGCAGCTGCTCCCCCAGCCATGTCCCCGAACACCGGGGGTCCGGCCGGGGTCTGAGCCAGCCCCCGGCGGTGTCCGGGGAGAGGGTGGGGGGCCCCAGCCCTCGCAGTGCGGGCACCGAAACAAAGAGGGCTCGGCAAACTTCACCCCAGAGTCTCGGCAGCTTCAGAGGCGCAAGGTCAGGCAGCTGGCAATGCTCGTGGGGAGGGGACGCGGGGACGCTCCGGTCCCAGGCAGGGTGGGAGGGGACTGCGGTGGGACCCCTGATTCCCTGGGGGTGTCTCTGGCTGGTGCTTGGGCTCACCTCTCCCTTCCCCTTTCCCCGGGGCGCGCTCGCTGCTCCGGCCGCGGTGCTCACACGGTCCCCTCCGCCGCGTCCTCGCGGCTACAGCGCCGAGGGGGCACAGGGGACGAGTGGGCTCTCGCCCACCCCGGCTCCGAGCCAGATGGAGCCGCAGGACCCGAGAGTCCCCCCCAGCCCCTTGGCTCTCCGGCTGGAAACGTGCCTGAGCCGCCGCGGAGCCCCGGGCAGGGGGGACGCCGCGGTTCGGTGCCCACGCGGATGTCCGTGTGCGAGCCCCCAGCCCTGACCTTTCCTCGCGGCATGTGCTCCTGGGGAGGCGGAAGGTCTGGAGGCAGCACGCTGCGCTGCCGGGCAGCCGAGGGAAGGCTGCGGCTTCCTGCCTCCTGAGACACCCGGAAAAACCGGGTGGGGGGCACGCCGGGCACCCCCTGCCCTGGCCCTGCCTGGCAGCAGGAAGCACCGCCCGCCGGGATGCCGGCAGGAGGCTCCTGCCTGTGTAGCCATGGCAACGTCAAGTAAATAAAGCACCTTTGCAACGGGCAGATTTGGTGGGGAGGGGTCTGCGCTGGGGGAGGGCGAGGAGGCCGGAAAGACCAGGGTGAGTGTGGGAGCCCCCATCCAGCGGGAGCGAGGGGCTGTTGCGCCGTAGGGCAACGTGCCAGTCCGGTCAGTGCCGAGGGATCTCTCCGTCAAAGTCACAGCCAAACCCCGAGGCAGTGCGGGGGAGCAGCTCTCGGCTACCCTGCAGCTTGTGCCAGGCCACGGAGGGGGTGCTGGGGCACCACATCCCACTGCTGCTGCACCCTCCAGCTGCTCCATGCCGGGGGAGCAGATGGGGGGGCCGATTCTGGTGAATCCTCCCCCGTAAATCCCCCCAGTTGCCGAATCTTGGCGCTCTCCCCCTACCACCGCCCAGCGCGGGGCCTCGGGGCTGAAATGCAGTTGATGAAAGTGCTGGTGCAGATCGACTCGACAGAGCTTGTCTGTCTCATGTGGGGAGTGTTACGACCCGCCCCAGAAAAAGGGAGGGGGGATAACCCAGGTTTTTATCAATAATTCCCTTGGGGTAGATTAGAGTGAAACGACACTGAATAATCGGTGTTTGAAAACATATACTGACAAGGTTTATTTTAACAATTCTGTATCAACAAGCATGCTAGCAGTTTGGGTGTTGTCATAAAACAATGCAATACAGAGATAACTTTTGGGGGGGGGAGAAACTGTTTAGGGGAGAGGAAAACCAGGATGAGAGTAAGGGGAAAGAGAAGCTGAGAGTATAAAAGAAATGGACATAGTCACTGCCCACTGGATCCAGCGATGCTTGAGAGCGATGGTCTCCAGTGATGCTTGAGAGCGATGGTCTTGATTCGCAGGCGGTGGGGGAGAAGGAGAACCCCCCAAATTCTCAAAGTCACCAGTCAGTTTATATACCCTCAGCATGCTTTTGCACCTCCCTGGCATGAGGAGTTGTTTGCCTTTTAGGGCTTAGCACTGGAGGGAGGGATGGGCCCAGTTGGCTACCTGAGGTATCTTCTTGCCTTTTAGGGCTTAGCCCCTCTGAGGCAACTCCTTGCCTTTTTAGGGCTTAGTCCACCTGAGGCATCTCCTTGCCTTTTTAGGGCTTAGTCCACCTGAGGCATCTCCTTGCCTTTTTAGGGCTTAGTCCACCTGAGGCATCTCCTTGCCTTTTTAGGGTTGCTGGCGGGCGTGGGAAGAGAGGGCTCCTTCCCAGCTGCCTTTGAAGCGTGCTGGCCTTGGCATCTGGTCGGAGCCTGCCTCACTGGCGGCAGCCGTGTTTCCCTCTGCTCACACCTGTGCTTTTTGTCTCTGTGTTGTGTTTTCCCCTACTCCTCTCTCCCTGTTAGCTGCTGTTGGAAGAATACGCAAACAGCGACCCCAAACTGGCACTTACAGGCGTCCCCATCGTCCAGTGGCCCAAGAGAGATAAGGTAAGAGCTGTGAGGAGGGACCTGGGTGGGTGTCACGTGGGGCTGAGTCGCTGCCCGGGACTGGGGTGTGGTGGCACCGCTTCCATACCCACCTTGGGAGCAGTGCCAAGGTGGGATGTAGGGTGCAACCACCTCCACAGCACCGCGGGCAAACTCGTTTGCTGGCAGAATGGAGTTCTCCCACCATGCCGGTTATCCCAGCTCAACTGATGGGTGGTAACTAGATCAGCTGCTCCATGTTCTCCAGCCCTTTGGTCATGCTCAGAGAACATGGAGCTTGGCTGTTGGAGGAAGGGGTGATCCCGCTCTCCCAGCAGCTCTGGCTTGATAAGGGAGTCCTGGGTGGCCTGAGGAGTGTTGTGTGTTGGGGAAGGTCTCACTGTTGTAGTGATGTGAGGTGTGGGGTTGAAGGCCAGCATCGTCCAGCCCCTCACTGCAAGCTGAACGTGTCCCTTGTGTCCCTGTCCTTGCCAGCACACTCTGCTGTAGTACTGGCTCTTAGAACCCCAAGGGAGGCAGCTCCCTGCAGATAGCAGCCAGTTCCTCAGCAGTGGGACCTTTCCATGCATCCCTGCCCTTTCCCTCTCCAGCTATGCTCATAACCCAGGGCCCACAGCTGGGCCACAGCCCGGGCTGAGCTCGCTGAGCAGATGGAGGCACGGAGCAGCCGGACTTCCCCTCTGCAGGCTGCCTTCCTGTGGCCTGCCAGGTTGGATCCCCGAGGTCACTGCTTCCTTCCTGACAGGAGACAGGCTCCCAAGCTGGCTGTGGGAAGAGCAGGACCCCATCACTCTGGGAAGGGTGGGTAACACCCCGTTTGGGAGTCTGGAGACAAACAAGCCTCTCGGATTGCCCTTTGGAGGTGCCTGTCTCTGCTTGCCTGCCCTGCCCAAGGAGATCCAGTGTGGATTGCTGGTCCTTGTGCAGCAGAAGCATCTCAGGCAGCTTTCTTGGGAGAAGAGACCTGGAGACATGTACGTCCTTTGGGTGCAGCACTCAGATGCTTGGCATATCCCCAACCCCATCCTTGTACTGGGATTTTTGGGAGCCTGCCCTTCCCCAAGCCCCTCAGCTGGGGTGGACACCCCACCAGGGCTGATCCCAGAAGCATGCTGCAGCCAGCAGATTTCCTTTGAGGGCTGATGGGATGCAGGGTGGCAAAGGTCAGCTGGAGAGCAGTGCTGTCCCACCTGTACTGTAAACGGGGATGTGGGTGTTCCCAGTGTGCCTTGAGCTTGGGAAGGAGTGCCCAGAGCTGATCCCTGTCCTGTGTAGAGCTGACAGGTGACATGGGTTACAGACAGGAGTTACAGAGTATTCTGAGTTGGAAGGGACCCACGAGAATCATTGAGTGACACACAGAGAGGACAGCCCGGGTGGACCTTGTCATTCCTTGCCTCAAAAGGAAAGAGTGGATGTTGTTGGAACACTGTGGTGTCTTTGGGACTCATCACCCCTTTTCAGACCCATTATTGAGTCCTGATGGGGGGTAGGAGGAAGGGGAGCTCTTGGCGTGGGGTGTGGAGAGCTGCTGGGGAAGCACCAATCCAGGCTCCTTTGGCTGTGGAGCGGTGAGGGTGCAGAGCTGTTCTCCAGCATGTTATCCATTGCAGTGCCGGATCCGATCAGAGCCTTTCAGACCTCAGCACAATGCAGTGCTTCATTCCTCTCACCCTATTCCCTTCTCTCTCTGTTGCCAGCTGAAGCTCCAGGCCCGGCTGCGGGTGCGCCTGCCCACCATCCCCATCACCAAGCCTCACACCATGAAGCCGACCCCGCGCCCAACACCCGTCAGGCCCACGGTCTCTCCCATCGTGTCGGGCGCCAGGCGGAGGCGGGTGCGGTGCCGAAAATGCAAGGCTTGCATGCAGGGCGAGTGTGGCATGTGCCACTACTGCAGGGACATGAAGAAGTTCGGCGGGCCTGGCCGCATGAAGCAGTCCTGCGTCCTCCGGCAGTGCTTAGCGGTGAGTCTGCATCCTCAGTCTTCCCCTGGGAGACTCCTGCAGTCTGGCCAGGGCTCTGTGTGGCCTATCAGGGCCATAAACTAAACCACAAGAGGTTTCACCTCAACATGAGGAAGAACTTTCTCTTGAAGATGGCAGAGCAGTGGAGCAGCTGCCCAGGGAGGGCATGGAGTCTCCCTCTCTGGAGACATTCAAAACTCACCTGGACCTTTCCTGTGTCACCTGCTCTAGGTGGGAGGTTTGGACTAAATGCTCCCCAGAAGTCCCTTCCAACCCTAACAATTCTGTGATTCTGTGACAGAGGAGGGCAATTACCCAAGTTTGGTTCCTGGGGAATAGCTGGCCCCTTCCCCATGATTCAGGTAGTAGGGAAGGAAAGGGGGAAGGCTGTCCCACCTTGCCCTGGTTTCACCCCTGCTTTCCTTTGTAGCCCAGGCTGCCTCACTCGGTCACATGTGCACTTTGTGGCGAGGTGGATCAGAATGAGGACTCGCAGGACTTTGAGAAGAAGCTCATGGAGTGCTGTATCTGCAACGAGATCGTTCACCCTGGCTGTCTGCAGGTGAGCAGGGCAGGTGCTGGGCATGGGGGGGGCTTGGTTCTGGGGCAGGGCTACTGCTGACCCCCTCCTTTTCTTTGCAGATGGATGGGGAGGGGCTGCTCAACGATGAGCTCCCCAACTGCTGGGAGTGCCCCAAATGCTACCAGGGTGACGACACAGAGAAGGGCCAGGTAAGGAGCAGAATGTCTGTCCTCCATCACACTGCATCCTGCCAGGGATGCATTCAGCCAGGGTGGGCTGGAGAGACCAGTTGGGCAGTGACTAGTGAGAGTGAGGATTGTGGGAGTGCAGCACTTGAAAGCCCGCCCACATCTTGCTGCAATCCTATCCTGGCATCCCACAGGGGCGAGTCCCCCAGTACTGTGATGAGCACCCCTTGTTCCCACTGATGCTGAGCTGGGATCCTGAGAGATTCCACTGCAAGACACACTGGGCTGTTAGGCATTTAGTGGAAGCCACTTCCAACCTCAGGGGACACCCCTTTTGTCAAGGGGGAAGGAGAACATTGGTTCCTGGTGTGGGTGGGCTCTGATCCTGGTTAATGAGCTGTTAAAGAAATTCTTTACTCAGAGGGTGGTGAATCACTAGAACATGTTGCCTAGAGAAGCTGTGGCTGCCCCATCCCTGGAAGTGTTCAAGGCCACGTTGGACAGGGCTTGGAGCAACCTGGTCTGGTGGAAGATGTCCCTGCCCATGGAAGGGGTTTGGAACAAGATGATCTTTAAGGCCCCTTCCAACCCAAACCATTCTATGATTCTACTGGGCACTGCTGGTGCAAGCCCTGCTCAGCACTGTGTTGTTTCCCTGGGGAAGAACAAAGGGGGAAAACATTCCCCAGGCCCACCACAGCCCCATCCCTGCTAACCCTCTTCCCCACAGAAGCGGAAGGTGGAGGAGAGCGACGATGACACGGCACAAGCCAAGGTGCTGCGGCCCCTGCGGAGCTGTGAGGAGCCCCTGACCCCACCGCCCAACTCTCCCACCCCGATGCTGCAGCTGATCCACGACCCGGCGTCCCCGCGGGGCGTGGTGACGCGCTCATCCCCCGGTGCCGGCCCCAGCGACCACCACAGCGCCAGCCGGGACGAGCGTTTCAAGCGGCGGCAGCTGCTGCGGCTCCAGGCCACGGAGCGAACCATGGTGCGGGAGAAGGAGAACAACCCCAGCGGCAAGAAGGAGCTGTCGGAGGTGGAGAAGGCCAAGCTGCACGGCTCCTACCTCACCGTGACGCTCCAGCGCCCCACCAAAGACGTCCACGGCACTTCGATCGTCCCCAAGCTCCAAGCCATCACGGCCTCCTCCGCCAACCTGCAGCACTCGCCCCGCGTGGTCGTGCGCCACGCGCCCGCCAGGATGCCCCTGCGGAGTGGGGGCGAGGAGGAGGCGGCTGCTGAGGAGGAGGATGAGGAAGAGGAGGAGGAGGATGAGAATGCAGAGGAGGGGGGGGCGGCCCGGCTGAACGGCCGCGGGGGCCGGGCGCAGGAGGACGAGGAGAGCTGCATGCAGAGAGAGGTCTGGATGTCCGTCTTCCGCTACCTCACCCGCAGGGAGCTCTGCGAGTGCATGCGGGTGTGCAAGACCTGGTACAAATGGTGAGTGTGGGGACCCGGGGTGGGCTGGGGGGACATGCTTGGTGGCCTTCCCTTTGCTCCCTGGAGCCAGGCAGCATTGCCCTTGGACCTGTGTGCACTGCTCCTTACTGTCCCCTCTGGGAGATCTGAGCATCTGTGTCCCCCACCATGTCCTTATGAGGTGCCAGTGTCCTTTCCTCACCCACTACCCTGATGGTCCTTGCCCTTCCTGGCCTCCTGTGCTGCCAGCAGGCAGGGAAAGTGTGGAAGGCAGGCTGAGGCGGGATGGGTTTGCTGAGGCAGGGTGGATTTGCTGGCTGGAAGTGCCTCAGGGGGCAGCAGGCCCGAAGACAATGCTGGCACTGGGACAGCTGTGCATGGTGAAGGGCTTGGGAACAGATGAGAATGGAAGCTGGGAGGTTTCTAACCGCCGAGCAGCAGGGATGGAGCGATGGGAAAGGACCAGCCTGCTTTGATCGGCAGCCGGTGGGAAGGGTGTGGTGTGATGGCTGGAGGACAGTGTCCCCTTGTCTGCACCTTCAGGGGCTCAGCTGAGCTGCCATCGGGTCCAGGGTCTCCACAGATTCCTGTGGGAGAGGAGGAGTTTGTGCCACCTCTGGGCTCTGCCACAGCTCTCAGTGAAGCAGCAAGTGGTGCTGGAGCTGTGGGATGGGACCAGGAGGAGTATTGTGTCTGCTGGGAGCGAGGATCCTTAGAATCTCTGCCCTGACAGGAGGAGCACCTGGAGGGGACAAGCAGACCAGCAGCTGTGACTCTTGAGTCTTGTTTTGTGGTAGTAAAACCCTGCTGAATCTGCTCTGGGTGTCCCTGGGTGGCCAGATACCCTCAGCAACCTCCCATGTTTGGGGAAACCTATGGAAACCAGGAGGAGAGCCTTGTTCTGTGGCTGAGGCCATGCCAGGGCTGGGCTTCTCCCTGAAGCCAGGCAACCCACTGGTTGTCTCTTATCCCATGGGGCTCAACTTTCAGCCTTGTCCTTGTCCCCAGGTGCTGTGACAAGAGATTGTGGACAAAGATAGACTTGAGCAGGTGCAAGTCCATCACCCCCCAGGCGCTGAGCGGCATCATCAAAAGGCAGCCGGTCAGCCTCGACCTCAGCTGGACCAACATCTCCAAAAAACAGCTTACGTGGCTCGTCAACAGGCTGCCAGGTGAGCATGGGCTGGGGAGGGGTCCCTATCTGCCACCAGCCTGCTCCAAGGCTTCCTGAGGGCTGGAGCACAGTGAGACACACTCTGCACCCTGGTACCTGCCAGCTTGGGAACTCCCAGGGTTCCTGGATCTCATCCCCAGCAAATGTCCCACCCCAAGCAGGGAGGGGACCTGCTTCCTCATGTGCCTGGAAAAAGAGGGTTGAGATCTGGGATGCCTCAGAGCTGACCAAACCCGTCTGACTCGTTACCTCTCTCCCTCCTGCCAGGCCTGAAAGACCTCATCTTAGCGGGCTGTTCCTGGTCTGCGGTCTGTGCTCTCAGTACCTCCAGCTGCCCCCTTCTCAGGACCCTCGATCTTCGGTGGGCAGTAGGAATCAAGGACCCTCAGATCCGGGACTTACTCACGCCTCCAACAGACAAACCCAGTAAGCTGCTGCCCCGGGGCAGGGCTGGAGTGGTGGTCACTCAGGAGGGTCCCCGTGGGTTGTGGGGAGATGGAAGGGGATGACGTTCCGATCTCAGAGCGGGGAGGTGATGCTGGATCCGGAGTGCCGCAGTGTGCCAGGGCAGTTCGTCCGTGCTCAGCTCCTCCTCTTCCTTTGCAGGTCAGGACAATCGCAGCAAACTCCGCAACATGATCGACTTCCGGCTCGCCGGCCTGGACATCACCGACGCCACGCTGCGCTTGATCATCCGCCATATGCCCCTGCTCTCCCGCCTCGACCTCAGCCACTGCAACCACCTCACGGACCAGTCGGCCAACCTCCTCACCGCCGTGGGCTCCTCCACACGCAACTCCCTCACCGAGCTCAACATGGCAGGTGGGTGCGCTGCTCCGGCCATCCTGCAGCACCTCCCTCCTCCCAGCACGACACGGGATGTCTTCCCAGAGCTGTTCCACTCACTCTAGCTCTCCTTTCCCTGCAGGCTGCAATAAGCTGACGGACCAGGCCTTGCTGTACCTGCGCCGCATCTCCAACGTCACCCTAATCGACCTGCGAGGTTGCAAACAGATCACCCGCAAAGCCTGTGAGCACTTCATCTCGGACCTGTCCATCAACAGCCTCTACTGCCTGTCCGATGAGAAGCTGATCCAAAAAATCAGCTAGAGACCCTCCCCGGGGCAGACTGAGGAGAAGGAAAAGAGCCCATCCCACCCCTCTCGGAGAGCCGCTCCTCCACCTCCCCACCTTGCCCTCCGTGTCCTGCCTCCCACCTGACTCGGCAGGCAGGGCCGCTGCTCCACTGTCCTTCCTCCTCCTCCTTCCCCGGGACTTCTGCCGAGGAAGATGTCCCGCCAGGCTGGCCAGTACCAGAGGAGGAACGGGCACATGGCAGGGAGCCTCAGCCCGGAGGCTGGCCGCTCCCAGGGTGGAGCTTGTAACAGAGGTCTCTGTGCAGAGAAATGGGGCACCCTCTTCCCCCAGCTTTTCCCCTTCCTTCCCATCGTCTCCTTGCCTTGAAACACTTGTCACTTCCGCGGTAGCACAAAGCTTGAGGGTCTCTCCAAGGAAGCGGGAGCAGAGCCGAAACACCCCATACCCCTCTGTGCCACCACCAGCTCGGCGCTTGCCCTGCGCTCTCACGCCCTTTCTCTTCCCCTCATCTGGCTGCAGGGACTGTGATACATCCCCCTCCTTCTCCCGCCGCTTCCACACATCCGGGCGGCTCTTTGGGTGCCGAGGGCAGGAGCCCCGTGGCTGGGGTGTCACCAGGAGCAGGGGCTTTGAGAGCCCGGGGGGGCGAGGCTGGGGGATAACTCGCTTCCACTCTGGGACAGCATCAGCCTTCCCGTCTGTCCGAGGGGATGGAGCAGGGGAGAACCCACAGGTACATCAGAGCTCAGGGAGGACTCGGGAAGCATCAGCCAGGGGTGAGTGAGCACATGGGGGGGACAGGAGCTGCCTCCTCTTCCTCCCCAGCTCCCGGCACCGTGAAGCACTCTGGGGCCGGAGGGGCGAGGGCTGTTCCATGGCCCGGGACCGAACTGGCACGGCCACCCCCCTGCATCGTCCTCTCCTTCTCCCACCCCCCTTTTCGCTGCCGATTTTCCTTTGCAATGAATGGTCGGTCCAAAGAACCTCTCTCTAGGGCAGCAGAGAGCTTTTTGCACTTTAAAAAAAAACAACAAAAAAACCAACAAAAAAAAACAAAACAAAAAAAAAAGACAACAAAAAAAAAAGAAAGAAAAAAAAAAAAGAAAGGAAAAAAGGTTGGAATCTTCTTTTTCTGGGTCACTATTTTATTTCCCTCCCTGTCCTGCCTGTGCCCGGACGCTCCCCAACTCTCTCCCCCCCATGTCAGCACCCCGCTTTCTCCCTGGCAGCGTACAGATAGCACAATCCAGGGTGTCCCCTCTGTGCCACCCGTCCCCAGCCCCACAGGGGGGTCCCCCGAGGGCAGCCCACCCCCCTGCTGCTTCAGAAGCAATAAGGGAGGAGAGGTGGCCACCCACCCCCTTCCTGGGCGTGGGGACTGTCCCCGGCTGCCACAGGGGGATCTGAGGGGACAATCCCGGAGTGCCTGGACAAGGGGTGGTGTGGCCTCACTGCTGGAGGGCTCGGAGCAGGAAAACACCCGTGGGTGAGAGGAATACCCTTCGGCCTCAGCCTCTCTTGGCGGTGGCGACCAGGGAAGACGTCGGAAGAATTAAAAGCTTTTCTTTTTCCTTTGGATTCATTTTGAGTTTTGCAACAAGAAAGAAAACTTAAAAGAGCTGGGGTTGAGTGTGGCTGGAAGGGCCAGGGGCTCCCCCCCTCTGGGGGTCCCTCCTCCACGGGGACAGCGCCCCCTTCCCGCTGTGCCCCGCAGAGACGCCTGCGGGCGACCCTCCTCACCACCCCGGTGTGGTGCAAATCCACAAGGAAGAAAAAAAGAGAATTATATATAATAAAAAAAATCACTTAGTGATTTAAAACCAACCCAGCCTGCTCCCTAAAGACAACTCCTGCAAGCAAAGTTACTTGTTTAAGGGTTTGGTTGTGGTTTTTGTTTTGTTTTAATCCCCCCCGCCCCCCCCCGTCCCTCCCTCCCTCCCTTCCCCTCCCTGGAGAAATATTGTAAATATCTATTTTTTTGTTGGCGATTTAGAGTCCATCTCTGATGTTTGTGCTTTAAAATTAAATGTAAGCATTAAGGGTAAAAGCAAACGAAGTCTTGCGCTCTCTCAGTTGGGGTTGGGGTTCTTGGCTGGGGCAGAGGGAGGGCACCTACTTGGCAGTTACTTTTGGTTCATTTTCAGTTTGCCTTTCCTTTTTTTTTTTCCTTTTTTTTTTTTCTGGGCTTTTTAGAGAGGATCCTTACTCATAACATATTACCACAAGGCTGTTGTGGGGGGAGGGAAGATCCCAGCCTCCCAAGGGAAATATTTTGTTTCTTGGGGGTGGATTTTTGGAATAAAAAAAGTAAAAGAAAAAAAAAAAAACAACGAACTAAAATCCCTGAGTGTTGGCTCTGCCCATTGTTTGTCTGTGAGGAAAGTGGAGGGGATGAGGCTGGGACCTCCTCTGTCCCCCCTGTCCATCTCTTGGGGTGGCAGTAGCAGCCATCCCTGTGTCCCCATCCTGGTGGGTGGTGGCAGCTGTGCTTGTGTCCTATCACCTCCTGGCAGGGCCATGTGAGTCCTTGCCCTCTGCTCTCCTTTGGCGGATTCCTGGGCCACCAGGGTGACATTTGGCATCCCCCAGCGTGCAGGGATGTCACAGCCCATGTCCCCCGGCGGTCGGGCTGTGACATTTGCATGACGAGGTGCAGGGCTTGCTCTTCCGTGGGTGACATCCTCCTCCACAGGTGGCGAGGCCAACGCCACCCTCCCTGTGCCCCAGTCCCTGTGTGTCACCTGAGTGATACATCAGGACCGAGAGAATCAGAGCACCTAGAGCCCCTGCTTGTCCCCTCCTGGTGTCCCCTCCTGGTCCTGGGGACAGGGAGCCTGCACACGGTGTCACATGCACATGGTCACACCTGCTGTCAGGTGTGTGCACCCACATGGCACATGTGGTGCTGCACGGTGCCACGTGCACTGGCGTGTGGTCACACCTGGTGTCACACCGTGTGATGTGGGGTGACACGTGAGATGTCATGCATCACACCTGCTTGGTCACATGCAGGGCATCACACACAGAGCCACTGTCACACACCCAGCCAGTGTCACACACACATGGTGTCACACAGCCGGTGTCACACTCACATGGTGTCACACATACACAGTATCACACATTCACGGTGTCACACCCACAGTGTCACGCACACAGTGTCACACACAGTGAGACAGAGCCGATGTCACAGTGTCACACACAGGGAGACAGAGCCAGTGTCACATGGTGTCACACATTCACGGTGTCATATCCACAGTGTCACACCCACCCACCCCCAGTGTCACACCCACCCGCCCCCAGTGTCACCCACCCAGTGTCACACACAGTGAGCCAGTGTCACACTCACATGGTGTCACACCCACCCAGTGTCACACATACCCCTGGTGTCAGACGCACCCAGTGTCACCCACCCAGTGTCACACAGAGAGACACACCTGGTGTAACACACATGTTCCTGGTGTCACACCCAGTATCACACACACCTGTTGTCACACACTGTTACACACAGTCCCCAGTGTCACATACAGTGTCACACACACCCCTGATGTCACACCCCGTGTCACACACCCACACCCAGTGTCACACCCAGTGTCACACCCAGTGTCACACACCCACACCCAGTGTCACACACTGGTGTCACACACCCATAATGTCACACACACACAGAGTGTCTCACACACACACAGTGTCACACCCGGTGTCACACACACATAATGTCACACTCTCACTGTCACACACCGGTGTCACACACACATAATGTCGCAGACACCCCCACTGTCACCCCCGGTGTCACCCCCCCGCTGCCGTCGGTGTCGCGGCCCCCCCTGGCTGGGCGGGGCGGCGGCGCAGGCCCCGCCCGCCGTTCCCGGTGCGGCCGCGCCCCGTTCCCTCTGCGGGCGCTCCCGGCGTTCCCGGCGCTCCCGGCCCCGCGCGTCCCGTGTCCCGGCGCCGCCGAGCCCGGCCCGGCCGCTCCCCGCGCCCCCGCCCGGCTCCCCCGGCCCGGCCCCGTTCCGCTTCCGGGCGCGGTTCCGGTTCCGGGGCCGGCGGGTCGGGCCGGGGCGGCGGCGGCGGGTCCGCGGCGCGGGACGATGGCGGACCTGGAGGCGGTGCTGGCGGACGTGAGTTACCTGATGGCCATGGAGAAGAGCCGCGCCGCGCCCGCCGCCCGCGCCAGCAAGAGGATTGTCCTGCCCGAGCCCAGGTGAGGCCCCGCCGCTGCCACTCCGGCGGTCCGTCCGTCCGTCCGTCCACTCTCAGCCCCGAGACCCCCCCGCGGCCCCCGCGCATCCCGTCCCGCGCCGCTCCCGGCGCCGCTCGCTCACACCCGCGTGTCACAGACACTCCCGCACACGTGTGTGCGCGGCACCGGCCGGGAACACCTGCCCGGGCTGCGCTCCGGCACCGCGTCCTGCCCCGGCACAGGCACACGGACACACGGACACACACGGGCAGGGACACACGGACACACGGACGTGGACACACGGACGTGGACATAGACACAGACACATGGACACAGACACACGGACGTGGACACGCACACACTGACACACAGACGTGGACAGGGATACACAGACATGGTCATGGACACACACGGACACACAGACACGGACACATCCTGCTTGGCATACAGACAGGCACACGGACACAGGCACACGGACATGGGCACACACATATCCTGCCTGACATACACACAGACACGCAGACATAGGCACACACACAAATCCTTCCTGACGCACGGACAGACAGATGTGGACACCGAGACATGGGCACACACACATTCTGGCTGTCACATGGACACACAGACATGGATGACACAGTCAACCTGCCCAACAGACAGGCACAAACAGAGACACAGGGACATGGACATAGAGTCATGTGTATACACCCCCTCTGTCCCCACCACGTCACCCCCCTGCTCTCCTGCTGCCGTGCACGCTCATGTTTACACACACACACACCTGTGCCCAGGTGCACACATATGGTCAGGGTCCCCACTCCCCCTTCCAGACCCCGGTGCCCTCCTGTGCCTTCACTTCCAGGCACCCAGGAGGCTTTCTGGGGATACCCTCCTCCCCAGCCTCCCTTGGACCCCCAGTGCGTGGGACACCCTGTGATCCTTACAGGGGCCCAGCAACTTGTCACACTTGGGTGGGGACACACAACACGGGAGGATAGGTGTGCCACCGGGGCTTGGGGGACACGGGAGGAGTGGGAGAGGAGGAGTATGATAGGCACGGGGGTGTGTTGGGAGCAGGGGTCTTTCAGGGGGCACGGGGGGCACTGAGTCCCTCTGGTGTCTCCCCAGCATCCGCAGCGTCATGCAGAAGTACCTGGAGGACCGGGGAGAGGTGACTTTTGACAAGATCTTCACGCAGAAGATCGGTGAGCTGGGGGCACGGGGGGGCTGTGGGGGACACAGGGGGCACTTGGGGGAGCACCCTCAAGGGTGGGCTGGTGGCCACCACGACAGTAGTAGTGGCCATGGCCATTCCCCTGCCCCCTGGAGGTAGCAGGGGGGCTGTGGGGCCGGGCTGGACATGGGTGCCAGGGGGCTGCGCAACGTTCCCCACCCCATGTCCCCCGCCCTGTCACTTCCCCCCACGCCAGCCTTAACCGTCCTGGGCAGGAAGCGCCTCTCACTTCCTCCTGCCGGCTCCGGCGGTTTCCGGGCACGTCCTCCCCACAGCAGCCTGCCTGTGGTGCCTGCCCATGCCCCTGACACGGTGTCCCCCTCCACATCAGCCCCCTCACTGCCCCCCTGCCCTGCCCCACGGTGCCCCACAGCACTGCTCCCTGTGCCAGCCTTGTCCCCCGTGTCACCCTGCCAAATCCTCACCGGTCCGTCCTTGGCATTTCCCCTTCTCCAAGCCTGGCATGGGGGTGGTAGCAGGGCCAGGCAGGCCCAGGGGATGGTCCCTGTGTCCTTTGATGTGGGCCGTGGGGCTGGCATCTCTCATGCTGTGGCTCTGTCCCTGCCAGGCTACCTGCTTTTCCGGGACTTTGCCTTCAACCAGGCTGAGGAGGCCAAGCCCCTGATGGAGTTTTATGAGGAGGTGAGATGGG